GGTGCTGGGGCTGCGGGTGCTGGGACTGAGGGTGCTGGAGCTGAGGGTACGGTGCCAGAGTGTACGGAGCCTGGGGGTGCTGAGCCTGCGGGTGCGGGGCCTGGGAGTGCTGGGACTGCGGGTGCTGGAGCTGAGGGTACTGTGCCTGAGAGTTTGCCGCCTGGGGGTGCTGAGCCTGGGGGTGCTGCGACTGGGGGTGCTGAGCCTGCGGGTACTGAGCCTGCGGGTACTGAGCCTGGGGGTGCTGCTACTGAGCCTACGGAGCCTCGGGTTACTGCGTCTGGGGGTGCTCCGGTTCGGGGTGCTGAGCAGTCTCTCACACCGCAGCAGCTTCGTGACTGGTACGTCCGGCGCTTTCGCCGTCCTAGTGGCTCGGCTGGAGTTGGGGGTGCTGGGGCTGCTCGTCCTGGGGGTGCTCGTACTGGGGGTACTGGAGCTGCCGGGACTGGTTGTTCTGGGAGCACTGCGACTGGAGCTGCTGGAGCTGGGGACTCTGGCGCTGGCGGTGCTAGCGGAGTTGGAGATGCCGACTCTGGGGGTGGCGCTGCTGCTGGTGCTGCGGACCCGCCTGGTGGAGCTACTGCTGGAGCTGAGGACCCGAGCGGTGGCGCTGCTGCTGGTGCTGGGGACCCGGACGTTGGAGCTCCTGCTGGTCCTGAGGACCCGGCCGCTGGAGTCTCTTCTGCTTCTGGAGACGCTGCGCGGCCGCGACCGTACTTCGTACCGCTCCTTCAGCAGGTTCTTGGGCAGGCTCCTCCTCCTTGTCCTCCTCCCTCCGTAGAGTGTCCTCCGCCTGTCCAGCCGCAGTCACAGTTACCGCCTGCCTCGCCTCTCCCTGCTCCCTCTCCTTACGCTGGTCCCACAGGAGGTCTTACAGAGCGTCGTGAGCCTGAGTCTCGTCCTGCGTCGCCTGTTCGTCCTGCTCGCACTGGTAGTCGTGTCCGTCGTGAGCGTCCTCCTCCTGTCCCAGGCACTCACTACATGACTCTGCGTCCCTCTACTGCTCCTCGGCGTGTCCCTCTACCGTCTCCTCCTGCGTCCTCTTTGCCTGCCGTTCCGGACCCTGAGTCTGACCGGTATCGCGCTGAGCACCCTACAGTCACGCGTCTCCTAGCTACTGTTGTCACTGACCCTACCTTTGAGTCCTCGGCTGCGTCTGCTCTGGTCGCTGAGTTGGTTGACTTTGCTGCTGCCTGTCGTCTAGACTACGCTGCTAGCCTTGTTGCTGAGTCAGAGTCTGCGTCTGTCTGTCCTCCGTCCGTCGGGGGTGAGTGTGCTCTTGGCACGGACGTCCTTGAGGACAGGCAGGAGGACTTTGACTCTCTTGCGGCTGCTGTACCTCATCTCGTGGCCTGGTTGCTTGCCCCTGAGGGAGACCCGAATGCACTAGACATCCCCACTCCGCGCACTTACGCAGAGGCGATCTCGGGTCCCTACTCCTCTCAGTGGCAGACAGCCATGGACGCAGAGATGGCATCCTGGAAGTCCACAGGCACCTACGTCGACGAGGTTCCCCCTCCTGGGGTGAACATCGTCGATGGCATGTGGATTTTCAGGGTGAAGCGGCCGCCAGGTTCTCCGCCTGTCTTCAAGGCTCGTTACGTTGCTAGAGGCTTCAGTCAGCGTCAGGGGGTCGACTTCTTCCAGACCTTCTCCCCCACCCCGAAGATGACCACTCTTCGGGTTCTGCTGCACGTTGCTGCTCAGCGTGACTACGAGCTTCACTCTCTTGACTTCAGCACAGCGTTCCTGCAGGGCAGCCTGCACGAGGAGATCTGGCTGCGCCGCCCACCTGGCTTTACTGGGTCGTTTCCCCCTGGTACCCAGTGGAGCCTCCGCCGGCCAGTCTACGGTCTCCGCCAGGCGCCACGTGAGTGGCATGACACACTGAGGACTACACTTGCGGCTCTTGGGTTCGCGCCGTCTACTGCTGACCCGTCGCTGTTTCTGCGCACAGACACGTCGCTGCCGCCATTCTACATTCTCGTGTACGTCGACGACTTGGTCTTTGCTACTGCTGACACTGAGGCACTCGCTCGTGTGAAGTCGGAGCTGCAGAAGAGACACACCTGCACTGACCTGGGTGAACTGCGTAGCTACCTTGGCTTGCAGATCACCCGGGACAGAGCTCGCCGCACCATCACCCTGACTCAGTCACACATGGTGCAGCAGGTCCTTCAGCGCTTCGGCTTCCAGTTCTCCTCACCACAGGCCACACCTCTGGCTACCAGCCACTCGCTCTCAGCTCCACCTTCGGACGAGTCCGTAGAGCCGAGTGGCCCGTACCCAGAGCTTGTAGGCTGCCTCATGTACCTGATGACTTGCACGCGACCTGACCTCGCGTACCCTCTTAGCATCCTTGCTCGTTACGTTGCGCCTGGGAGACACAGGCGAGAGCACTGGGAGGCTGCTAAGAGGGTGCTGCGTTACTTGTGCAGTACATCAGGCATGGGGCTGGTGCTTGGAGGACGCGACAGAGTTGTCCTCACTGGTCACTCGGACGCTTCTTGGGTGGACGACCTGGCTACGCAGCGGTCGTCACAGGGTTACACCTTCAGCCTTGGCTCTGGTTCTGTCTCGTGGCGGTCCACCCGCTCTTCCTCTGTTCTCGGCTCTAGTTGTGAGGCTGAGATCTACGCCACAGCCATGGCTGCACAGGAGTTACGCTGGCTCACCTACCTGCTGACTGACTTGGGAGAGCGGCCTAGTTCTCCTCCAGTTCTGTACGGTGACAACAAGGCGGCTCTTGCCTTGTGTCAGGAGCACAGACTGGAGCACAGGACGAAGCACATTGCTCTTCGCTACTTTCTTGCTCGAGAGCTTCAGCAGCGCGGTCAGCTTCGGCTTGTGTACGTGGACTCGAAGGCCAACACTGCTGATATCTTCACCAAGGCGCTCCCGCCTAGTGATCATCAGCGGCACTGTACTTCTTTAGGCCTTGTGTCCACGTTTCCTCACTTGCTCACTGCTTGACATTCTTTGTACTGTACTTTATATATATCTTGTTGCTTGCTTGCTAGGTTTTGATCACTGTGTTGCTTGTCTTGTACTATATCTAGCACTGCATGTGAACTGGCCTTGTGGCCTTTACTTGTGCTCGGAGTGTGGTGACGTTGTGATCCACCCTGGGCTTTGCTTTGCTTTGCTGGACTGGTCTTGTGACCCTTTGTTCTCCCCCACTTTGCCTATGGGGGTGTGTTAAACTGTATTATGCTTGTAGGCTGTAGTGGGGTAGCCAATATGGGGTACAACCCCAACTAGGGTTTCATATTTGTACCCAAACTTCTGCTAGTTCATTCATTCTTGCCTAGTTATTTTGAGATCCCTGTCAGCACCTGCTGAAATGTTGCTATGTTTTGTCTTACATGCGTTCTTGTGGCAATTTCGCCACGCGAGCCATGGGGGATTTTGCCAGGCACGTTTGAGGACATTGCTTTAGGAGTGTTCGTGGCGATTAAAAAAAAAAATAAAAATAAAAAAAACAAACACTAAAATTCATTGGGTGCGCTTGTACGAAGATTGACTGAATTTGGGGTAGGCTTATAATTGGCAACCGACTATAAGCCTAGTAGACCAGATATAAGCCCATGGGTGTGACATAGGCCTTGAGGTATATCCGGGGGATGACGGTAGGTGCAGCCACACCCACGCTTAGCAGTTGCACGTGCACTTAGCTGCTGCCCCTGCGGCCTTAGGAGCTGCCGTACGCTCCGCGGAGGGCCAGGCCAACAAAGCTCTCCACTTCAAGGTCGGTGACGAAGGAGTGGCGTGCTGGGTGCTCGTCTACGTCGATGACCTGCTCGCCGCAAGCATCAGCACTGCAATGCCGAAGAAGCTATGCGAACCGCTTGATAGTGTCTTTCAGCTGCGCAAGATTTGCTTGCTCGAGAAGTATCTGGGACTAGAGATCGTACATGGCCGGCCTGCGCGGAGGCCGTGGCTCCACTAGCAATCCTACGTCGACAAGCTGCGCAGGCGCTTCATCGACGAGGAGCAGGCTGGTCGACGTCCGAAGACGCCGGTCTTCGTCGACACCTACCCCGAGCCGGCATTTGACGACAAGAACTTCCAGTCGCACGAGGAAGAGGTATACTGGTAGAAGGTCGGCTCGTTGCACTTTACCGCCACCATAACTCGGCCAGACATCGCCTTCATGCGCGGCAAGCTGTGCTTGACAGTGCGGAGCAACTAGCATTGGCACGAAGTCGATTGCTGCCTCGCCCACCTGGTCGACACACGAGATATCGCCCTCAAATTTGGCGGTGGACCAGAATCCCTGTGTCTGGTCGGCTACGCTGACACCGACGACGCCGTTGAGAAGCAGGCGCGAAATAGCATGAACAGCTACGTGTTCATCTTCGCCGGCGCAGCGGTCTGACGGATGAGCAACGCATCAAATGCATGACTCTGTCATCGACGCAGTCGAAGTACATTGCTGCTTCCCTAGCCACGTAGCTCTCTCTTGGCTAGAACTGCCTAATACGGTTGGCATCAAGCATCGTGCCTCCTGTCAAACCTCGGATTTATGCCTAGTGGTGATCATGCACGATACGAGAGGGGGGATCTAGCAATGTCCTGTAGCTACAAGTTGTTTTCGACTGCTTTTGAAATTGTAAAATTATTGGAAATCTAGATACTTCCCCCCCCCCCCCCCCCCCCCCCCCCCACCCTATAGAGGAAAACGGGTGGATAGGGGGGAGAGGGGGGGGGGTATCATACCGATTACCGCTCGAAGGGGGGTATAACGTTTTCGAGGCGTAAAGAAAGCACCCAACCTCATATTACTCCTTATACATATTCAGGGGATTATGGTAACCGCTTTATACATCAAACGTGTTGTATCTTGTATGCTATGTATCATGCACTCAAAAGAAGAGATCATAAGGGAATTGGCAGGTCATGCAAATAACAAATTCTGAAACGCAAGGCCAGCAACTGTTGTGAAAACATAGATTGCAGAATGATCATGTAAACGATTGAAATACCACGATTGGAGAAGACTAACCACCAGTGGTGAAGGTCCAGGAAAGGATGGTGTGCCTTTGCGGCTGGCTGCCCGAAAGAGCAACAAAGCCGAAGAGGAAGAGAGAGTCGGATGCAGTGGGCTTGAGCACGGAGCAGAGAGACACGCTCGCTGTGAGGGTGGGGGCGAAGGGCTCGTCGGGTTCGGAGGAGAGGTAAACTCGGAGGGTGCCGCCGTTGTTGGGGTCGTAGTGGATCCAGGCGTGCTTGGTGTGGGCGTCGTTGAGGATGAGAGGGGCCGTGGCAGAGGCGAGGGACACAGGTGAGCCGCCCACATTGACGCCCACGTGGTTGTCGTTGGGGTCGCTGTGCTTCACACTCAGCACCGAGTCAAACTCCACCGCCACACTCCGCTTCCCCACCCCTCCCAGCCCCACACTCGCCCCCTTGCCAGCAGCAGCTGCTGCCACCACAAACGCAAGGCCCTCTCCACCCGCCCCCTGGCCCGGTGGGCGCATGGCAAAGCTGAAGGCAGCGGTGAATGCGAGCTCAATCCCACAGAGGGAGCGCTTGTTGGGGAAGTAGAAGAGGCGCAGCGCGGGAGAGGCAAACGCTGCTCCCTGCTGGTTGGGCGCCCCTCCTGTGAGAAGAATGGAGCCGTTGGAAAGCACAGCGGCTGCGCTCTGCAGCGACACATAGGCCGAGTCCGATGCCAGCGATGCTCCCACGGCTGCAGGTGCACGGGAAGCAGGCAAGTAAACAGCACCTGAGTGTCAGTAAGTTACGTGGCAACGGCAGAGATGCTGAAGCAAGTTTCAGGCCACTTGCTTGCGCATCCTGTGAAAGACTTAACCATTGTGTGTACTGATCCTCTCCATTCAACATTCAGACGCCTTGTAACCTAGCTTGGCAAAAGCTGTTCTCTGTTGCACTTCCGGAAACGCACCTCCCGGCACACAGGCCAAGCTATCGCTGCTGTTGCGCATGTAGTTGGGGTCGCAGACACACTCCCCTGCTCCCACCAGGGGATTCACAGCGCAGTAGCCATGTCCCCCACACACAGAACGTGCAGCACCGACCTCCACCCCACAAAATGCAGCACAGGCAGCAGCCGGCCTCTGGGTGAAAGCATGGCCGCAAATGGTGTGGGAAGCAGCAAGGCAATTTGCCTTGGTGCTGAAAAGGGCCGCAGAGCAGTTGGGGAACGTGACTTGGCCGTGTGTGAAGAAGTTGTCGTCCACCCTGTACTGCACCAGGCTTGAAGGCGCCAGGCTGGGTAGACCACCGGAGAAGTGGTTCTGTAGTAGGAGCCTGCACGCGCGACACACAGGTATTATTCAGTCAGAGACAACAGGAAGGAAGGATGGAAGAATGAAGCCAAGAGAGCAGGAAGCAGCAGATGCGTGCCGGCGTGGAGCGCTGCAGTGCATGGTGATACCCACAGCACTGAGAGGTTTCGCATGCCATGCAGAATGTGATCCACGGGACCCGAGAGCTGGTTGAACGCCAGTGAGCTGAGAGCAGATTAGGGTTGAATACACGCACGAGAGGGTGTGCAAGCAGCAGGAGGCACACTCAAATGTAACAAGAAAGCATGCAAGGTGATAGGAGCAACATAGCATGCAAGGCGATTGGAGCAGAGGACAGGGAACGAGCGTGATGGCAAAAGGAAATCAAGAGTGAACAAGGCAGTGAAAAAAGTGGCGATGTGGGGGAATCCATAGATTGTTTCGTGGTATACAGGGTTAGAAGCTTGGAAAGGTTGCTAAGGGTGCTCGGAATGGTCCCATGTAAGTGATTGCTTGAGAGGTCCCTGCTCAAGTGGTGTGCAGAACACAACTCTGAAAATCGTGGGAACCTAAATTGGTGATGAGCAGAGGTCATAAAATGGATGATGCAACATGACAAGTACACCCCTACTGTATGCCTTTGCAATTTTGCGACACAACAGCAGGGCATTACACTGCAAGCAGATGCCTTAACCGTACATACAAAGCAAGAATGTTGGTGAGTTTGCCAAAGGCTGTAGGTATGGATCCGGATGTGGGGTTGGATGCGGTTGACCTGCCATGCCAACACCAAGGTGCCAGTCTGCCACAGGATGAAGGTGGTGCACTGAAAGAGGAGGCAGCAAGAAGAAACCATGTGGAGCTTGGGATGCGCAGATCGTTAGCATGTTGCTAGAAAAGCGGCCCTTTGTTGGGAATGAAATAACGTCCTTCCTGTCTTTAGCAAAAGGAAAAGCGGCGTGCATGGCTTACAGGTAGATCAAGGGCAGATCAGCCAAAGCAGCAGGGATGCTCCCTGTAAGATGGTTGTAGTCGAGCAATCTAAGGCGAGCAGAGTGTGGGACATGGATGAGCATAGAATACATCTTTTGCGAAACATTTGCAATAGCACCACACCACAGCACATCTAACGACATAGCAGACAAAGCGTGCGAGTTTGCAGCCAAGTGAGGCCCGAAACAAAGACATCAGTGCTTCTATGATCGTGGCCATCAGTGTTCTGCTAAGGACCGCGCCCAATTGAAAGGTTTGAAGGATGTGAATTCGCACAGATTGCTATTTCCCAAAGGACATCAACTATTTGCTTCTATTCTCGTTCCATCAATCGGATGTTCAAGAATGACCACACATCAAAAGGATTAGGTTAGTGGGGCATTGTTGAGCTGATTGGCATTCCATTTTCCATTTTCCCTCACTCACAGGGCCACAAGCTGCTGCAGTGAGGCTAGTGACGCTGGGATTGAGCCCGTCAACAAATTCTGACGAAAGGAGCTTTGAAATGTGAGCAAACAGAGCACACCATGCACCACGTATTTTGCGGGTAAGCAACACTTTAGAAGTTAGAGGGAGTGATAGAGTATGAATATGGAAGGAAGAGGCAGGCATGTGTTCTGAAACTTCTGGTGAGAGCAAAGATTCCACTGGCATGGAAAAGCAATGACGAAGGGGTGCATTGATTCTGAACATCCGCGAGCACAACAAACACAACATGGCAACGCGAGAGTAGGAATGGATACACCGAGCCCCGAGGCAAAAGTCAGATACAAAGGCCTGATAAAAGCTGTGAATCAATGGACCACTCAAAGCTGGTTTTGCCATGATGCGAGCATAAAGAGCACCATGTGATGTGATGTTACCCAAGCAGACTCACAGTTGAACTAGAGACGTCATGGCCACAAGAGAGCTCGGGATGGAGCCGCTTAGCTGATTGCTTTCCAGTTTCCTGGGGAAAGCGATGATGTGCTCACGTGATTGAAATGGTTAAGGGATGGCATGACATGGGAGGAGAGGCAAGGAGAGGTTATAAGAACATGATATGCAACAGGTAGTTGCATGCAGCAGACCTATACCAACACTAGAAGTTGTTGCAAGATTCCTGAACCCATCACTCATTGCATTGCACCATCTCATACATCTTGAACAGAGCGTCCATTCTACATCCATGCCTCCATGCCTCCATACCATGTAACCGGATTCTGTTCTACCTCTTGACCTGTTAACGCTGTAAGATGTCTCACAGGGAGGCTGTAACGCCCGCCTCCCCAGTGGACTCCTACAGTGCCTAAGTTGCTCTGTGGCCACCAGCACTCCTGTTGGTGCTGTGACAGTCATCCTGCTGCATCCTGAAGTTGCTGTCACCCTCTTGCCATTGCTGCCTTTTTATTCGTGCATTTTCACTCTTCCAACCAGGCAGGTTTGAGCGAATTTGACCTTTGCTTATGTATAGCCCCAGCGATTCAACGGCACATAGCAAACAACGCACTGGATACTTGTGCTGCATGCATGCTCAGATACGCACAGGGTTGTGAGGCTCTGCATGAGGCTGAAGGAATCGGGTATGCTGCCACTCAGCAAGTTGTAACTCAAATCACTACAGTTGCGAAAGATAGAAAGGTGGATACGGATGACATGGAAGGTGGATACGGCGTTGTTGTGCAGCAAGTATGCCCCAGTGGGTAGATTCTCACCTTTGGTCTTAGAGGTCGTGGGTTCAATTCTTAGCAGCTGCACTCTCCCTTCTCATTATGCTCCACATGACATGACCACACTCCACCACAGTGAAGTGTGGTCACAGTTGGCATTGCCACCTGTCCACTCATCCCACACTCACCTTGCTGGCCCCTATGGTGTGCCATATGCTGTCATGTGAGCTGTTGTTCCAGCCTGGCCCACATGTGCAACATGTGGCCTCAGTTGTTAGCTTGGCAAGGTTGGCTAGCCTTGCCCTCAGCTTTGAGGTGCTGCAGCTAGCCTCAAGAGTTCAGCCACATATATGTGGCTTCCCACTTCACTAGGAATCATCCTTGGACAAGGACCTTGCTCTAGTCTCTAAGACTTGTACCATTCTCTTGCTAAGGATATTTCTTATTCCTATTGTGCCCTAAGTTCACCGATCCATTTTCTACATGGTATCAGAGCTAGGCTTCTAGCTTTGTGAACGTCGCACACTTGATGGCTCAAGTTGAGACGCCTCTCGGTCGGCACACCCTTCCTATCTTGGAACCGGATGGTTCCAACTTCATTCCATGGAAGAAAAAGATCTGCTACATTTTCAATGTCCTTGGGCTGATCTCCCTTCTTGGAGATCCCAAGGTTGCTGCCCGCCCTTCCATTTCCTCCTCCACAACCAGCAGTGGAGATGCTACTGAAGGCAACAATGGTGCAGCCCCTAAAACGGCCCATTCGATTGCGTCGCTGCCGGATGAAGAAAAAGAGGAGCATGCGTACTATCTTCTCATGTCTGCCGTCCATCCTCAGCTCTCCCTCACACTTGCTCAAGCCAACACGACGAAGGATATGTGGGGATGCATCATGGCGCGGTTTGACTGCATGGGTAACCATGCCCAAGTGGCGCTCCTCCGAGATCTCATTATTAGATGGATGGACCCAACAATGAGTCTTCGTTCCTACTTCGATCGAGTTGGAAATCTTACGCACCAACTCAAATCTGCCGGCTTCGAGTTACCATCTTGGGTGGTGGTAATCTCCATCATTCTCAATCTGCCGGACTCCTTCAAGACTCTCACCGAAACTATTTGCACCGTGAAAGACATCAAGTCTATGACGGTTGAATTCCTGCAGTCACGTCTACTCGATGCCGATTGGGAGCGGTCACAATCTGGTACAAGCCGCAACACGGAAGGTGCATACAACCTCCATTCCCAGCCCTCCCACCCTATTCGCTCCGGTTCCCGCCAGTCCCCTACTTGCCGCTACTGCAAGAAAGCTGGCCACACCATTGACGAGTGCTTCAAGTTGAAGAAGAAGAAAGAGCTCGAAGAAAGCTCTCGACGGGAGAAATCTGTCATCCAGCCTTCGGTGCATGTGTCAACAAGCTCCTCCACCGACATCCCTTCGACCTCCACAACACCTACTGCCCCATCAGCCCCTCAGTCCGTCCCTGATTCCCGATACGTGGACATTGCTTTCAGCACCAGCCACCGCCCTATCCTCCCCACATGGACTCCTCTCGTCGCTGCTGTCTTTATCTTCACCATCCTCCTCCTCCTCCTCCTCTTCCTTTATGGTGCTCCCTACGCATCGGCATTCACGGCCTCCTCATCAAACATGGTCCGGACTTCTTCCTGGCTGGTGGACAGCGGCGCATCTTCCCATATATGCTCCGACCGCTCGCTGTTTTCATCTCTCCAGAAGCCAACCGATGATATTATCGTTCGTTTTGGTGGTGGAGAGACCTACAAGGTCTTGGGAATCGGCACGGTGGTGGCTACTCTTCGTTCACAAACCTCGGAAACCACCATCCAGCTAGACAACGTTCTATTTCTCCCTTCATCGGTTCACAACCTGCTCTCAGTTCGTGCACTTGGAGCTGCCGGCATTGCCGTTTCCTTCCCCACTGCTGGGCGGGTTGAGCTCAAAACTGATGAAGCTCATATTGGCGAGGGCTTTACCTGCAACAATCTGTTTTATCTTCAGCTGTATCATGGGAGCAGTGCCGCCCCCCCCATCACCCCAACCGCTTGTCCTGTCTCCACCACCACCTCCTCATACCTTTGGCATCGCCGTTTCGGGCATCTCAACATGCGGGACTTGTCAACACTTCATCGGCAGCAGCTGGTCACCGGTCTTAACCTCTCCTCCTCCTCGATTCCCCAATGCATCTCGTGCTATCGTGGGAAACAAACGCGTCAACCATTTGGCGTGTCCCGTTCTCGCACCACAGCACCACTCCAACTCATTCATTCGGATATTGCTGGACCGTTTTCATATGGAACTACCATTGGAGGCGCTCGCTACCTTCTCACTTTCATCGACGACTACTCCCGCCACATTACCGGGTATGCTGCCACTCAGCAAGTTGTAACTCAAATCACTACAGTTGCGAAAGATAGAAAGGTGGATACGGATGACATGGAAGGTGGATACGGGGTTTTCTGCCCTGCCCGGGCATGCGTATTTTGTAGCGTCTCCCAGGCCCTCATGCAGTGTCCTGCGTCCAGGACGCTGCGTCGCCAACGTCTTTTGCAACATAAGACCAACCGACCAACCACGCCAGGATCACATGTCTTCACTGTATCAATCATGCGAGTGACACCTCTGGGTGACTGTCTGTCACAGATTTACGAACACTCGAAAGAACCAGAAGAAGCAAGTTGCCAACGTACAGGAAATCCAAAGAAGCCATGTGCCCAAAGGAATCAGGGATGCTTCCCGAAATGTGGTTACCGTCAATCTGCCTGTTCATGGGCACACAGGAAGGAGGAAGAATGTTGATACTAGATGAGTGTAACTGAGACTCTATGCACGCAAAGCAAGCATCTCAGACATTACAGGAGAATAGAGAGGACACCAGCAGGGAGGAGAGAGCAGAGACGACACAACAGGAGTATAAGGAAGGGTAGGGATGGGTAGGAGAGGTAAGGGAACAGGGGAAAAGGCAATGAGATGCGTGACTCACATGTGAGTGAGGACCGTAAGTCTGCTGCATTCGTCAGGGAGAGAATCGCTGAAGAGATTACTTGAAAGTTCACTGATGAATGCAGGGAGAGACGTCACAAACAAACAAGAGGATGCCCGTGCCTGTCTGTGCATTGAAGTTGCGCATACTTATGCTCTCACAAACAAACGGAGTTGCGTGTCAAGAGCTGGTGGTAAACATATACTGGTGCAGCCACCGTTGACTCTATTTACGCGAACAAACTGTTTTTAGCCCCCATTGTATAAATCACCGCCCTCCGTATTCGCGAATCAGGCATGCCGGCCGCCAGATCAGCATCGGTGGGCATGAGTAATGGGTCGGCCACGGTTGGGTCGTCCCGACCAAGTTTTTTGGCTGTAGGAATCGGCGACTTCGCCCGCTGATTATCAATCACCTATGTTTGCACCAATCTGAATGGATCGTCGCACTTCAACCGCCCATGTGAAAAGGCGGCTTCAACTGACGACCTGCACAGATCAGCACATTGCGATCGTCGATCTTTGCAGATCGGCAAACTTGACCACCAATCGGCGCAGATTCGCGCCTATCGACCGCCGATTTTGGGCGGGGTTTGACCCGAGTTTGGCTCGGGTCGACCCGTTCCGTCGGGTCACTATTACCCGGGCCCATTATTTATCTTCCAGTCTCGGGTCGACCCGACCCGGGCCAAACCATTACTGCCGGGTCAGTTCCGTCAGCCTTCCGACCCATCCCAGGACCCTGACCCATCCAGGGAGTCGAGCCTAGTTTATGTTTAAGCGGTTTTAAGGGCATCCATGCCACGAACCTTCAAGGAACTTTTGACTAGGACACTTTGCTCATGTATACTCACGATATCCTCCCTTGGATATAACATAGCTTCCTTGACCAATACGAGGTGCCATTCGAGAGTGAGACTTAACAACGTGTATTGGTCAAGCTAGTAGCATTGGAAGGAAAATGTTCGGCAAGGGCTCACAGGTGTTTGAGTTGTGGCAGATTGCAGAGCGGGTCTATTGACCCCCGTAGCTGATTGTTCCCGAGATATCTGGCAAGTGGCGGAGGAAAAAGATGCAGGGCGAGACAAGGTGATACTGTCAATGGAAGAGAGCAAATGTACCGACAATAGAGCAATGGGTGTTCGCACGTTATCTGACTACATGAGCAACTTTATCACGTGCAAGCACTCTCTACCTACATGCATGCATCCATCCTTGTTGAAAGGTGCGAACATACTAAGGCATGTTCAAATTAAAGGGCCTGGCCATTATTATATAGACAGATGGCAACAAGCTTCCATAGAAAATGGACTATCCGGCGGTACTGGCTCTGGCCTAGCCCAACAAGCAAGGCTGGACGGGACTGAACCTGCAGCGGCATCAAAGCTGGCTGGGGTGGGCTGGCGGAGGCCCTGGGCCATTGTTAAGGTGGAGAGCCCTCATATCCAAGAGCAAAATCCAAGTGCCGATGCCCACTTGGCCTTCCAATGCCACCCCTTTGTATATGCCTTAGGGAAACTGGAGAACCCAGACTTGACGGGTCAGGCCTGGGCTGCGCTGCACCATGTCGTGCTGGGCTTGGCCGTCATTCTGGAATAGCTAAGGCCTGAGCCTGGCCCTTGACCATGCGTAGCGTACCTATCTAGTACATATCATATCAGAGTGGTGCGATATACCCATTGTGGTTTACACCCACATGCTCTCGAGGTTGGTCAAGCGGCTGAAGCCTGCAGGGAGAACCCCCCTGATGGAGTTGCCAGTTAGATCACTAGAGCGCACCACAAGCATTAAGAGTTGAGCACAGAGATCATGAAATGAGTGTTGGTGGAGACAATAGAGAAAGTAGTCGAGACAGAAACCTTGCATCGTGAAATGTCTCACAGAAACCATCATGCATCATGTTGAATGTAAGGCTTCTGTCGAGTTGAACATGGTTCAAGGATGCAGTGGCTGTTAACAATTGGTGATTTGGCACATGCGATGCAAGCAAGTGGATAAAGTGGCTTAAGATATCTTATATAACATCTATTGACATGCGGTTCATTTTCTAAATGGCGCACGACCTGTTATGGCCCGGCCATAATGGCCGCATGTTGCAACGTTCAAGTGGGTTTTATATATATGAGTATGACGCTTACAGGAGTTCAAGTGAAGCGATATTGAAGAGTGATTGGGGGATGGTGTCCGTAAGCTGGCACTTCTCAAGCGAGCTAAGAGTGGAAGCAAATGAGAAAGGCATGGGAGAATGCAGGGACGTAGGGGTGGTAGAAAGCGGAGAAGAATGTGGATATTTTACAGGAATAGAAAGGGGAATGAACAGTCGAGGGAGGAAGGGTGGGTGTAGAAGGGCGGGGAAAGGGAGAGGAAAGCAGGCGACATCCGTATGCTCCGAACTGGAACCTGACACCCCAGTGCTCCAGCTCCCTAACAATCTTGCATTCGCTCCACATTTCTCTACACATGACCTTTGCTTGCGCTCATCCAATCCCTCCTCCTCGCCAACGCTACATATGAACGCGGGTCAACCAACTACTATGCAAGCAGTAACAAGCAGCAGCGTGTCAACGTCTGCCATCTTGACGACTTCTTGACCATTCACCAACCAAGGTGCAGCATTCTTGCATCTTGAGCGGGGGCTTGAAGCCATCCACCTAGTAGTAACTCACAGGAACCGGAGGTGCTGCAATAGGCTTATCTCCTCGGGTATAGAATCTCCAAAATTCTTGTTGGACAGAAGCCTGTGGTCAACACGAGGAACAGGTGAAGCGATAGTTAAGTACCACGCTGTGATATTCTGTGTGATTGTGCAGCAGGAAACAGGATATGCTACGGTAGATGCAAGAAACGGCACTTCTTACGCATGTAACACACTGCACAACAAGTTGACGCTGCGTGTGCACCACACCGTGACTGAGAGATAAGGTCAAATCACATGCATGCTGCAGTAGCCGCGATGTGGCAGAGAGAAAGCACGCTCACATGGCAATGACGTATCCGTCGTCGTCGCACTTGATGCCATCCATCGCCAAGCAGTCCACGTGGCGCCACGACCACGTGTCACTGCCTGCAAAGTGCCCCCACAGGTACGCCAGCACCGCGAGGCTCTCGGCTGGGAGGGAAGTAAACACAATGACATGTCACGCGGCAGGGCATGGGCACGGGGAAGAGGGTGGAAGAGGGGGGTCACGGCTAGAACCGACAGGTTAGGACGAGGACTGGCTAACCTGCCATGGCGTGTGGATAGCCCAAATCGAATACCGTTCATAGGGACGACATCACAGAAATGGGAGGGCCTCAAACTCTGTGCTTATAAATTCTGCGACATTGTATTTACTCTATGTCGCATAGTATATCATAGAATATGATGTACATAGTACGAGGGTATCATTTTTGGGAAGGAATTCCACCCTACCATCTGTCTCGTGTAGCCGCACTGCCAGTGCGCTTCTTGGGAGAGAGCGGCAGGCAAGGCTGGCGAGGAGCAGGAGCAGGAGGCAGAGCGGCAGGCGGCAGGGCCGGCAGCGCGCCACGGCAGGGCAGAGATCCTGAGAAAAGAGAGGAGGAGGGGGTTGGGGGGGGCGCAGAGAGCGAGGGAGGGGGTGAGAGGAAGGGGGTGGGGAGGAGACGATCCTCTCGAGAGGATGTGACGGACGCCGGCGGACACTGCGGGCTGAGCCGCATTCCGCTGGACTGAATCATGTTGGTCGTTCAAGCGCTCATATTTCGCAACCGCAAGCTAAAACGAAGGGCCAGTCGCGGCGATGGGAGGCGCGACCGCCGGCGGCGATACTACTAGTACGTTGTTAGAGTGTGTACCAAGAAACGTCTAGAAACCCTCGTTGCGCGAAAACGAGATACTTTACATGATGGAAAGTCGCCATGTATAGTTCGTGGGAAGTACTACAACGCGCACTGCGGTACTATAGTTACGTGAGACTCGCCGCAATAGGTGGAGCGGAAGGAAACGGGCTGAACTGGGTGCAATGTGACCTCCTTTTGTAGCACAAATTCAACAAGAACCTCATCGACTCTTTTGTCACAAAAGCATGAGATAACGTTTCACTCTATGTAGGAAGTCTACACCGAATGATTGGGAGCCTCAAAGTCACATCTTGTTTTATGAGTTGTAAAAGAGAGTGCGCAGGTAAACGAATAACGAGACTGTGACTGAATGAATCTGAGAATACAATGAATGCGAGAACTAATGTAGGCTAGCCTAGCTAGGAGGAAACCTCGGACGAGCGAGGTTGGGTGCAGGTTTGGCGATGGGAATGCCGAAGGCGACGCGAGGAGCTTCGGCAGCGTGGAAATCGCCCGAACGTGCGAACTCCGAAAATCGGGTTGTACGCGCAGCAGTCAACCCCGATAAGGAATTCGAGAAAATTCCTTACACCACCCCCCCCCTTAAGAAAGGCGGTCAATATCCGAAACACGCTTGCGCGCCAAATAATCACCAACAAGTGGCGAGGCGTCGAGCGAGGCGGATGGCACCCACGTGTCGTCCTCACTGGTGCGATCAGTCCAGCGGATTAAGAAATCCACGTGTCGGCCAGCTGCGTCAAGTCGAACCCGATGAGCGAGAATCTTCGATGGATCGAGTGTCGGCTCCGGGACAGGTCGAGCTGTCGGGACAGCTTGCTGACGCGCAATGTCGGTCGTGGATGGCACGAACTTGCGAAGCAGGCTGACGTGGAAGGCGTCATGAATTCGCCAGTCGTCCGGTAGCAACAGCTTCGCGGTGACAGGTGTCACCATCTTGATAATCTTGAACGGTCCGCAAAATCGGGGCCGTAGTTTCGATGGACCGGGCAGGTGCAGGTTCTTCGTGTCGAGGAGCACTAATTGCCCAGTGGTCAAGACGAGTTCCCGGCGTAGAAGGTCGGTGTACTTGCGGGAAGTAATATTCGCCTTGCGAATTGCGTCTGCGGCTTTTTCGCGGATGTGCTGAATTTCCGTCACAAAAGTTTGTGATCGCGGGACCGGGTTGTCGAGCGAAGTTGCCGTGGGCACCGTCGGATCCATCCCGTAATTCAAGAAGAACGGGGAGTGATTAGTCGTGCTCGATGGTGCGTTGTTGAAGGCAAACTCCAACATGGCGAGGGAATCTTCCCATCGTGCGGGGTCGGGGCAGTTTGTCCGTATCAGCTGCTCCATCGTCTGGTTGGTTCGCTCGGTTTGTCCGTCCGTCTGTGGGTGGTATGCCGATGAGAACTGTAGCTTCGTGCCGTACTGCGCCCATGTCTCCTTCCAAAACTTGGATGTAAACTTCGGGTCCCGGTCGGTGATGATCGCCGAAGGGATGCCGTGTAGTCGCACGACCGTTGAGATGAAGAGGCGCGCAGTTTCTTCGGCTGTGATCGTCGTTCGGCATGGTGCGAAGTGCGCCATTTTCGTGAAGCGATCGACGACGACGAGAACAGCGTCGTTGCCGGACGGCCCAGCTGGCATCCCCGTGACGAAATCCATCGTCACCTGTTGCCACGGTCGTTCGGGTGGCTCGAGGGGTTGCAGCAGCCCAGCTGGTCGTTGACGTGTCGATTTCATGGCTTGGCACACCCTGCATGAGGACACATAACGCTGCACGTCGTTAGAAGAATCGGGCCAGTAATATTGACGGTGCAGTAATTTCTGGGTTTTATCAACCCCGAAGTGTCCGGAGTAGTTCGAATCGTGGACCTCCTGGATGAGGAGTTCACGCAGCAGCCGGTAAGCGGGGACCCAAATCCTGTCGGTGCCGGGTTTTGGGTAATAATCCCCCTTCTGCGTCGTGGCCTGCTGATGATTTCCTGTCGTGAAGAATGGGTCCGTAGTGTAGCCGTGGGTGAATAGTCCCGTAAGTAGCGGGTTTGAATGGGTGATCAGTACAGCAGCGGATTGTACGGTCGGTCTGGTCAGGGCGTCGGCGATGTTATTCGCCCCTTTCTTGTACGTGATGCGGTAGGTGAAGTGGCTTTCCATGTAATCCAGCCACCGAATTTGTCGCGGGTTGAGGTTCGGTTGAGCTCGCAGGTACTGTAGGGACTTGTGGTCCGTGCGCACAGTGACGTCG